CTACACTATAAGTAGTTACTATACTAGTCCGTACCTCTACTACACTAANAAGTAATAGTAGTATATACACTACTACTATATATATATATATATATATATATATATATATATATATATATATATTGCAAGAAAACGGATGTGCTTTAGCACTACAGTATTTTCGCCTTCCAAGATGAATGAAAGACGTACTTTTTCTATAGAATCCCCACACCACCCTCCATATGAATCAAATTTCCGGGCAACTACAGAAACACATCAAATACGTCCCTAATTATGACGTGAAATTCACATTACATATACAGACAGGGAGATGAGGGAAGGGGGATAGACAGATCCACTCCCTACAATCATATGAAAACCAACCATGCCAAAGCTTTCATATATACAGAAAACAATATGCACGTACGCAATAAAATGGACAACAAAAATTACTCCCCCAAACCCAAGAAGAAAACATACAAAATTCACGTACCCCTTGTGGTCCTCTTACCCCACCACTTTTTCTTCGACTTCTCGACATTTGAGTCCCCAAGCTTGTGAAGCGTGGCCTTGGTCTCTCTTAGCCGAACTTTATAATCCTTCTTCCAACCCTCAAACCGAAGCTTTAGTTTCCTCAGCTCATCTTCAGGGTTAAGTGAGGCCTCAGAGTGCCCTGACTTTACCTCAACTATGAACCCTGCATCATCATTGAAGACTTGTGCCCTTTGATCAAACTCCTTGGCCATGCGGCCAACCACAACAGTGGCCTCTGATGGCCGTCCTACTGTAGGCTTGCTGGGTGTGCCACCTATGTAGTCTGGTGTCCTTGTGCCAATTGAGGTGGATTCCTCCGAGTCATAAGAGTGGGCAAGGGGTGATGCATCGAGCCTTACGGCATCATCGGCGGCAAGGCTCCTCTTGGCTGCTGCAAGGCTCATCTGCTCAATGAAAATAATGACATAGAGCATTTGTTAAGGTGAATAATGTTCACCCGTAATAGTGTGTATGTGTGTGTGTGTGTGTGTGAGAGAGAGAGAGAGAGAGAGACTTCCCAGAGCCTTTGCTAAACATCTAAATGCTTGTTTCTGTTACACAAAATGAAAATCCCGATACCCACAAAGACAATGAAGGGTATGCCACATCTGAGTGATATGAGGTACATCACAAGAATATCCACGATTCATTCCTGATGCTGGATATTTGGGATTAACTATATTTTGCAATTACAGGCATGCTGGGACTGTTAATCATTCACCACCATCATCAATAACAGGTACAACTGCCGTGGTGTACCTTCTAATACACCATGGTAAAAACTTAAAAGAATCTCAAACAATTCCAAGTGGTCTGGTAAATTTTGAAGTGGGTGTGGTTTGTATAAGGTCGCAGCTTTTAAACAACCAAATTAAGGTGCAACTCCAAACTTTGCCATGAGATGCAATTTTGGTGTAACAAATTCTTGGGATGGTGCGAGAATCTATTTTTATCTCTAATCATAAAATTTTAAACTCCAAAAATGGTGTAAATTAAGTAGATCAATAAACACATGAAAATAGACGATCCAGGTAATGTTTTACATGATGTACTATTTTTATGACTTGAAATCTCTTTTTTCTTCATATATATACATCTCGATGTTGAGATGATCAATGTTTTGGTAACATCAAAACAACATTTTTAAAGGATTTTAGAGGTGCACCTTAATCCTACATTTTAAGGTGTCAACCTTATATAAACTTTATCCAATTTTGAAATCTCTCATCTTTTGGTCATTTTATCATAGTTGCGGGAATCTTGGGGGTAAGGCCAAGGTCCCACCTTAGGAACTCGGATCTTAGAGGCAGCTGGGCTTAGAGGAATAGGGACCTCGCTCCTTATAAAATGGGATCTCGGTCTACATACTTGTAAGATCCCTCCAAGGAGAGGAACTATACTATTAATTAAACATTGCTCCCCTCCTTAGTATTATAGATTTATTTCTTTAGAATGAGTTAAATTGTGGTGTATACATCGTGGTATACTAGAATTACGGTATTTAAAAACTATAGTTTAATATCATAGTAAGTCAATTTATGATATTATTAAATTGTATCATTCTAGTAAATTGGAGTACTATAACTACGACATTGGTAATAAGCTAAGGTGTATGATAATGGATCAAGCAGGCATTGGCTCGACGCTAATTTTATCATATGCTATTAACTGATCTCGTTTTATGTATAGTTGAGCTTAGATCCTTTCAAGTCAAAACCTCGATACCAGTGACATGGGATCTCACTCCCAGGTATCCTAGGATCTTGTTCCTTAACTTGTTGAATGTACGAACGTGGATCCTAAACCAAGGGAGCTTCCACCCTGTAGCAGTTATGTATTTCCCGAACCGAACCCGCTCCTACCTCAAACAACTATGCATTTTATTTTAATAATGTAAAACATCATGTTACCATTCATAAAAAGTGAAACATCATGTTGCACCTCATAGTAACAGGCAAGCTATTGGGGGCCTTGCCACCTGTTTCACCAAAAGACCCAGTTGTCACCAGGCATAAGTGCTGTTATTGTGACTGGAGAAAAGGAATTATTGGGGAGGGCCTTGAAAGTGGCAGTTCGGCCTTTCACAAAAAGACAAGGGATATAGGTCGTTTAACAATATAAGCATCTTTGCAGGTCTAAAATCACGGACATACTTGGAACAAATTAATAGTAATAAAAGATGAAAACTCTTACTCGACAGCTTGGTCAGCAACCAGAAAGCTAATAACTATCAAACGACTTCTCAAAGAAATGTATTTTGATCATTTTCAAAAATCCAGGATAAGCTTCTCTTAAAATTAAGGGCATTTTGGTCAACCTTACCATTCAACAACTTCCATATTCCAGAAACAATACTTTTGCCACCAATACACAAACACAAAGGAGAAACTGATTTGGCCAAAAATGCGCAGGCAGAAAATATGTTTTTGAAATTTGAATTTCCAACTCAAAAAAAGATATTTTTACTAGGCAAAAGAAAGAAGAAGCCCAAAAGCAGCAGAAACAATCAAATTTTAATAAATCTAGTGGCTAGAAAGAAGAGCCCAGAATTGGAAGCAACATCTGAATTTTTTTTATTTTTGTTTTTTTATTTTTTATCTCTACAGAAGTATTTTTAGTATAGATTTTTAGTAATAGTTTTAGTCGTCCCATCCATCTCTCCCTTGATAACAGATTTAGTTTTTATTGGATATAAAGGAGCGGGGTCCATGTCTTCATTTTGAAACCAAGAATCAACTTCTTCTAAATTATCTTCTTCAATTTTCCAAAAAGGAAAGCCGCAAATTAGAAAAAACAGTGGCCCATAACAAGAAGAAACATCAGAACCATATTGCGGAGAAGAAAAGCTGGATATTCAGGAAAATTGGAGAAGAATGAGTTATAGCTAGGTCACCTGCAATGATGTCATCTGCTTCTGCCAAGTCTCCTCCATGGACCTCATTCTTGTCTCATATTCAGACCATCTCTTCTCATATTGCTGCAGCTGCTGGTTCAGCACTAAATTATCTTCTTCTTTGTTTCGAAGTGCAGCCTCAGCCTTCAAAATCCTCCTCTGGAGCTCAGCTAGGGCAGATGGCTTCACAGACACCGAATCCTGCTCACCACACGGTACACTCTTTATATGTTAGACTGGAACCCAAGGCCAAGGCATGTATATTGTGAAATAGGAGAAAAAAACAGGGATCATTACTGTATTTGTAAAAAGCTAGAGACAATGTATGTACTTCATGTAGAAGTTTCTTATCATGAACACTTTCTTGGACTTGTAATTACACACACATTTCGCACCCTCAAGATTAGGAGTTTCACATAAATGGTCCTTTTTCGAACTGATATGTTCAACTATACATGAAATTTGTACATACACGTACATATGCAATAGATTTTCAAGCAAACAGGCATGGTTTGAAGGACATTTGGTGTGGTACCAGCCAGGTTTCCCAGCCTTGAGACCTAGCTCCATTGTGAAGTTCGTAATTCGTATCTCAAAAGGGATTCGAAAGTCGATGAGTTTTGTCAGGGGCCATTTTGGGCAGGCTAACTTCACCAGAAAAAGAGGGGGCGATATTGAAAGTGACACATTGAAGGTCTCAAATTGGGATCATTTTCAGAAAGGTCTCAGTCAAGTCTTTGCAAAGTAGAATCCTTAATCACTTGCAGGGTGGGAACTTAAGATAACTAAAATATCAGGTATGGACTATGGAGTATTAAGGTCTAGTCAAGGTGCTTACATTTGAATGGCAACCAAAGGGAAAAAAACAGAAGAAGAAGAAGAAGAAGAAAAAGGAGAGTTAAATACTGTTATTGAACTTGTGAATTACATGGAGAGAGGATGACGATATTGTCGATCACCTTTCGTTGCATTAGTCATATGTCAGGTGTATCTTTTCCTTTTGGATTTTTTACTACTCTATGAGTCAAGCCTTCCAGAAAAGTGACATTTTCAAGAAGATTTTCTATCCCAGTAGTCTTTTGGGGAATTTGGAAAGAGAGAAATATAAACTTTGAAAGCATTTACACAAGTAGTGAAGCGGTTGAAGGATGGACCAGGGATTCAATGATTTCATGACGACAAATTCCTAGAGTGTAACAGATGATCAAGGTGGATGATTTTCAATCCTACAATAGTTGTATTCAATCTCTATCAATAGATAAATGCTCCAAATCCTTATACTCAAATGTACAAATTTTCACACGTTGATGCCAATAAATGGTGTGGAAACATAAGAAGAAAAAGTTACATACCACAAACTGTAACTCCAAGCAGCCAAAGAATTTAGAGATCACAGCACACTAATTTTAGGATACAGCAATATATATTTTTAACCTCAAAATTTCACCACTGAAAAGCTAAAAAAATAGGAAGGAAGCCTATCTTACAAGTAAAAACTAGAGTACGTAAAAGTACCTTCTTTTCCAGGATCCTTTTAGGCGCCTGCAGTTGGCCATCTGCATGCTGAACATTTGCTTCTCCAAACTCCCGCATAATAGTATAATCTCTTCTAGCCAACCAACCACGAACGACTATAAAAATATAAAGGTACAAGTTGTTATCCAGCTTCATCCAATATATAAGCAGACAGATTTCTTTCACCAAAAAAAAAGAACAAAAGAAATTACATGATTGTACAAATATTGTAGCCCTCAAACCGTCATTATATCGTTTCCTTGTGATCCATCGTTTTATTTGTCTTTGTATGGCAATAACTGCTCGATGTCTCCTTATAAGAAGCTCAAATTCTTTTCTTGCTCTCTCACCCCTGACATCTGTAGAGGCACAGTGCCCATGGGAAGAAAAAAGTCAATATATTGGAATCAAGAGACTAGAGACAATCCCCTCCACCCCCCCCCCCCAAATTCTGTATGACTTTAATGACACTTTGCAGCACTTTTCATAATCAGGGTCCAGAAATAGAGCAGACAAAATGTGTTGTGAAAGCCTTCCATAACTAGTATATAAAAAAAATCACTTTTTGTCAGGATTAGTGCTCCATCCAAGCACACCTTAAAAGTTACTGCCTAATTATAATTAATAATAATATCCAGGCATTTTATAATAAAACAAATGGCCCAAATTGGCATTTGAAATGCAAACAAATCTTGGTTAGGAACCTAGCAGAGTTTTTTAAGGAAGAAATAAACAAATAGTAAACTGCTTATCCAAAAACAGAGAAAAAAAAAGAAAGAAAGCAAATAGGAACATTCAAGTAAAAGGTACAGAATGAATTACATGATTGGAGAAAAGCTACTCCGTTCTTGAGTTCTTGGAAATGACGGCGGGCTTGGCGACCACGAAAGCATTTTTGCACCCCAAGGATGCCTTGCAAAGTTCGGTTTCTTGTATCTTCCAGTGCACCAATCTAGAAAACATCCACAGATCACACATTTAGCAGACCAACGAATAGACAAATCTGAAGCTTCCCATTGAAAGGAAACCACACAGAAAAAAGAATATTTTTTCTTCTTTGGTGGTAATAGATGTAAAACTACCAAATGCATCACCATTTCTCCCTCATTTCTCCACGATGTTACATATTCCTCATGTTTATGGTGGCATTCTTCTAAATTGGCACCTTATGTTCTTGAATTCAAAACCAAAAATTTATTTCTCAAAAGGAGTGTATGTATGAGTAAAGCGTTACCAACCAATAGAGCATAGCTTCAGAAAAGTGTAAATGAAAATACATGGCATAAGACGCAACTGAAGATGGGGAAAACAAAACATACTGGAAGTACATAAACAAAGAGGGTTTACCTGGCCTGTTCGGAAAAAGAGCTTCGTATAACCAACTTGATACATATCAGGTAGTATGTTGAACTGCTGAAGAATAGCAACCGAGACACTAAGTGGATCTTGAGAAGTAACATTCTCCGACAGGAGAAATCCATACCTACAGGAAAGATCCAAATGAATCTAGCAAAACTCTATAATGATTTGACATAAAATAAGATTCATTTGATCAGATATTAAAAAATAATAGAAAAAACTAAAAAGCATGAGATACTAAACTGAATTATTTACCTTCTTGCAAAGTGATGATGAGTCATTCTAGTAGGATAACCAGACCTTGATATCCTAACAACCTCTAGGACGCCACAACATCGAAGCTGCTGCAAGACGAGATCCTTCTCATAGGCACCAGGAAGCTGCTTACTATTTGGTTTTATACAGCGAATAAAGTGGGGTGTGGTATTCTCCAATCGTTGCATCAATTTAAACAGTTGACCCTAGAAGACATTTGCAGACACTCAGTTGCAAACTTCATTATGAGCATATTACAACTTAAAAAATATGTATTATGAGCTCAAATAGATAGTGTAAAGAATATACAAATACATAGGTGTATGTCATGAACCACTTTCTATAGGCAACACTAGGATCTTCCTAGCAGATGTTAAAACTCAAAGCAAATTTCACATGCTTCCAATAACAGAATTGTTGTCGAAAGTAACATGAATGGTATATTCATTACTATACAGTAACTTGTGCATTTCAAGACAAATTATCATTGCATGTCAGCCATATGAAGTTCTGCAACTCAACCCTTAAATTTCATATTTGAATCATCCAACTTCACTGTGAGAATATGAGGAATGAAAAAAAGAAGGCAAGATCAACATACACTACTAAATAATTTAAACTAATAAGTTTATCATAGGTTCAAATATATCACTAAAATAGGTAAAATTTAAGAATGCAGTTTCCTCAAGCTTCAGGAATCACATAACATTTCAGTAGCCATACCTTAAACTTTGTCCCAACACTTTGCTTCTGGGAATCAGCCCCGCCATGCCTCCATAGAGGACTAACTAGCTTCTGGGAGTGATTAAGCATGGTAGAGGCAAACTTCTGAGGTAGTTGGCAATTGCAGGATGAGAGAAGTTGGATAGAATCACAGTGTAGCAAATCCCGGTTCTTCTCCAGGAAGCCAGTTGTGTCATACAAAACCTGTTGGAATCCCACACCAATCTGACTAGAATGCAATAGAAAGAGCTTTGACTTGAATATTCAATAATTTAGCAAAACCAACCTCTCCAGCATAGTGACAAACACAGAAAGCCCTGCCCCTTTCTCCTTTGAAACAAGGATTAGAATTCAAGTGCTGCCTAAGCTTATTTGCAAAAGTTAGGTCGGTACCATTGGGAAAAGTTGACTCCTCATCCAACAAAGACAATAACCCTAAAGGTTTCTGCGAGACACAAGAATAATAGAAGAGATGTAAGCCTTGTAAATAATGGCACCTCACATACAGAAAGTGTCACACAAAAATGTGAGCATATACTTTACCCAAAAGTAAATATCCTAAATCAATTCACGGAATAAGACGTGATATAAATAAGACGCCCACTAATAGGAATATATACAAAATGACTACATACTCCCATTTCCATTTTGATTAGTCTAGCTGGTAATTTTTTAAGGTTGAATAATTCTAATACCTTCTCAAATAGATTCAGGCATTCTTGGTTGTCCTCAAAATCAACTTTTGTCCAATCTATTCCATCTTGTGTATACTCCTGCAACAAATTATTCATGAGAAGTTCGATATATTTCTCCAACCATAAAAAAAAATACTGACAAGCTAATACTAAAATATTAATAATTTCTGAAACTGAGAGTAATTGTGTTTAGCAACAGATAATGACATAACCCATTTGGAAATTGGAATTGACAAGGATTTCATTTACTACCCAATAATGACATATCTAAATAAGGTAATGAGATACTTGATAAAAGATGCTCTGTTTACATTCTGGATTCAGGACCAGTTGAATACCCTGGGGTAAAGAAAGCCTAGGGACTCCATTGTATCTTAAGTTCTCAAACATGCTCAAATGGTAAAAATTGTCTTCAGAGGGCATCCTAGAGGATTTATCTATCTGCTTGGAAAGTCTAAACTCCAATTAGAATAGCACCACTAGAATATTTTTTTTTATCGATAAGTAAAACAGCTTAACTAGTTATCACAAAACATACTAAACTCTATTGGACTTCACATTTCCTTCCACTATTTAAAAATTTGCCAAGTTGACTGAGTACTTGCCCGAGTGGACTTGCTCAGCAACACAGCAAGTCTCTTGAGTTTGTCTTGTTTTTTTTTTTTTTCTTTTCTTCTATTAGTTCTATGCTAAATGTGAAATTAGCGTTAAGAGACTCTTATCACTAAAAAACATGGATCAAGTTTGCATGCAATACACCTTTCTTTCTTCGTGCCACTCAGCCACTTTTCTCATGTAAAAGGAGCTCACAAAAAAGAAACAACATTCAGATAAGCACAACATACAAAAAGGTACTCAGCAACAACCAATAAAAAATTGGCCATTCAGTCCAGGATTCTAACACAATGATTCAACTACTTAAGAAATATTGTCCTACATTTTATTTCGCAGAATAATTCCACAAATTTGGGTTTTACATGATTCCACCATACATGATAAAGGACTTCTGCTATAAAAAAACCAATATCCAGATTCAAAAGAAAAATCCATGGAAATTTCACTATCTTGGTATCTGCAAATCCTAAAGTCATACCTCTTGTTCGAGCTTGAATAAATGCCGATTGAAATGCTGTTGTAGCCTCTCATTTGCATAATTTATACAGAATTGCTCAAAGCTATTTTTCTGAAAAGCACAACCAATAATTAGGTAACAGTGAAAATCTACAAATAATTTTAATTGGACAAATCTTCAACATGTGTTAGTAGAAATCATGCATACATGAAAAGATTCAAATCCATAGATGTCCAGTATGCTTATGGACCTCCCAGTACGCCGCTTTCCCACTTCAAGTGACTTGTTAATTTGTTCTACAAGCCAGTCAAACAAGCTAGCATATATTGATTTTGCCAATGCATCCCTCGTGTCAATGGCCTAGGGTAAAATGGAACAAAAACAACTTTAGTGGAGCTTCAACAATTAGAAAAGAGAAATAAACAACAGAAAATATTATAATAAATTTTATAACCTGTGATAATGTTAGCTTTTGAACAATATTATCATTGCCTGCTCGAATTTTACGGGTGGACAATACTAGCTTGAGATCTTCAGCACTGCAACCCATCAATGTCGCTGCATTATTTATCCCTGTAACCAAAAAACATTTCAACATGGTGAGTCCGAATATTGGTAAATTTACATGATTGAACTCCCACAATAAAAATATGGTAGTTTTACATGCCTGAACTCCAACGATAACAATCCAGATTACCAATACATCATCAATAAAATCTATCGAGTCAGTAACAATTAGTTAGTTTGTTTCTCAAGATCTGCATAAATAAGAACTTTTTTCTTTCTACATTGTCTATATAGTTCCAGTAAAAATGGGGGCATATGAGATGGTTTGGGAATGCAGGATTTAGAGATTTGGTACTTTCTGCGGGAATTTCATACGATGTAATGGTTATTATTCTTATTTCCACAAATATACAGTATTTGTGAATAGTAAATTGCATATAGTCAATTCTTGCAAACAAAAAGAAATGTGAACGATAAATAGATGGCCCTAACAATAGGTCCTTCATAATGCTTGAATATTGGTATTAATTAAACTTCCTGCCCCATACAACATGATGAATAAAGAGGTTTCAATAAAGAGGATTGCCATTGAAATTATCAGTTACTGACCTTTCCTTTGAGAAAATCAAAGAAATCCCATAAACATATGCAAACAAGATAATTTGGCATGACAATTTCACAAAATAGAAACATCAATACCTTCATTGGTAACAAAATCTACATGATTTTCATTGTCAATCACTTTAAAAGAAACATTCCCCAGCCATAGAACTGCTGCAAGCATTGAAAACACATTATCCTGGTCTTCTTTACATATTTGAACAGTGTTCAAGGCTTCCTGGTCAGAGAAATGCAAGCACATAAATGCTTATGTAATAAATATGTAAAGCACAGACCTAAAACGTTTTTAGAATATAATCTTCATTCTTTCATAGGACATTTTCTAGCTTACTGTTAGCATGCGAAACCTCTGTGCATCATCAACCTCGTCAATTGTCAAGCAGTCACTTTGACGCAAGTACTCATAATCACTTGCCAACTTCAAGTTCAACCGCTCTGCAAGGGAAAACAGAGTTACCTCGATAAATGTTAAATACAACCACAATTATTCTTACAATAGACGGAGAAAGTAAATCTTGCCACTGATTTGAGAAAACAGATTCCCAACTGATCAAAAACAAATCAGTAAGAGGCCAACCTTGAATACCTTTAGGTTGAATAAACTCACAAAACAAAACTATCACTACATATTAAAAAAAAAAAATCTAGAAACACAAGGAAGCTATCTAGTATCTAGGGAAGCACCTTATGTCATTTTCTACTCTTTTTTTAACCCAATTTACAGTGTCTAAAATTGAGAAAATGAAAATACTGCCTAGACACAATGTGTACCTTGACATCAAGAACCTTTTTTAAAGTCAGTCTGTAAACATATTAATTAAGGGTATCTATTGGAAGAAATATGCCGACCACATCATAAATAAATCAGATTTATAGAAAACTTTGCTAAAGAAATGAAAATATGTGAACTTTATATAGGGTTCTTTATAACTGATAATGAGAGTAATTAGGTTACATAAATATATTCAAAAGTTTGATAGTTATGTCACCCAACATAAAAAAATTAAAATTCAACCGCGAAAGCTGCATTATCCTTGTAAAATTTACTGAATCTCAAAATCTCAATCATCATCATCGTCTGAGCCTTATACCAACTATTTGGGTTCGGCTACATGAATCCTGCTTCGCCATTCCACTCTATCAAGGGTCGTACCCTCAGTCAGACCATAAGTTACCATATCTTTTCTCAGTTCCTCCATCCATCCCTGCCCTTTTAGAACCTTTAACTTGAGCCAAATCACCCCTCATAACTGGTGTTGTTCTAGGTCAACGTTGCACACGACCATACTACCTAAGTCAACTTTTTATTGCCTATTGGAGCTACCCTAAGTCCCTCAAATGTATTCATTCAAATTCTATCATTCCTTGTTTTTCCATTCATCCATCTCAACATCATCATCTCAATTACAGTCATTCTATAGATAAGTTGTTTCTTGACTGCCAACATTCCATCCCATAGCATGGCGGGTCTTATAGTCATCCTATAGAACTTCCCGACGATCGCATAAGACTCCAAAAGCTCATCTCCATTTCGTCCATCAACTCTACTTCTTAAACACCATCATCCTCAATCACTCCTTTCTCATGGATTATTGACCCAAGATATCGAAAATAATCTCTTTCGGGTACTTTTTGGTCATTAATCATAACCAATTCCTCATTTCTGCTCTTATTATTACTAAATTTGCATTCCATATATTTTATCTTAGTATGGCTAATTTTAAAATCTTTATATTCTAAAGCATCCCGCCAAAGTTCCGCTCCATGACAAAATCTCAATAAGGAAATTTTTTAAATGCATAAACAAGTCTTTTCCATTAACCAATATCTCCCACCCATTTTATTTCTTAAATAAAACATCACATTATTGATTTATAACATCTCCAATACCATGAGACTCACAATTTATTTAACTAAACATAAAATAGAAACAACAAGAAGCATACAAAATTAAATGCTAGATGAACACACATTCACAAAACAGACAATTCTTATGAAGGATACTTAAAACAATAACTTTCACATATCAATAAAATGATAACGCTAAACACGACAAAACAAGAATGAAAAAAGCATCCTAAATATCAATTTGCAATCCATTAAGAATGCCACTATTGACTCTGAGTCAAATGTTTTCATCTTGACAATTAGCATAAAATCTTATCTAAAATCACAGGGCCAAACACATTACAATCGAAGACTCATTTAACTAATCCAATTAATAAACCAATCAAGTCTCATCACACTTTATAGTACACTTCCTTTACTTTCCTAATAAGCAATAGCATCTAAAACAACAAGATACAATATCTGCATAGAATTCCTCGTTATCAAGAAAGTCACTTATCCCATAAATCCACCAAACAAGGCATCTCTTTTTAGGAACAAGCTATACTTTTGTAGCATATAATATTTTTTCAATATATATATATATATGGGGTTTTCTACCATTTACACCCATAAAAATCCTTTGTGTGACATATAGAAGGGGTGAACTTTAATTGCCCCTCTTTTTCCTCTTATCTTTAGACCAAGTGCCATTTTATAAAAATTCAACCACCGGCTTTAGGCATTTAACATGTGCTAAAAATCAATTTCCCAAAATCCAATATTTATGGAAAATCGAAAATCAAAACTACACAATACATAATATAAATAAATGAAATGACAAGGGGGTCCCCTCATGGGGTTGACGTCACCCCCATGCCATCTCCACATGGGGAGACATGGGGCCCCATGGGGTTAGCACCTGGACACGCATTGGCCATTTGGGTGTCCCTTGTAGGTCCCAGGGGGCTATCCTTAATTGTCATTACTTCAAAATAATTATGGGAAACAAATTTCCTTGCCCAGAAAAAATTTCATAAATCCATAAAAATCATGTTAATAATTTTTCATCAAAATAAAACATTTTGGTATTTATTAAAAACATTTACAAGGGAAATTAGGATCCTCAGAGTCGAATTATAAAACAAAGCACTCCATTCAACTAGACCCGGAATCCAAAGCCACCTTCCCAGAATGACCCAACAAATTCATGACCCACGGTGTATAATCAGGGGCTCATGATATTAGCCTATCAAAGTCAAACCGATGTTCGACTCTAAATACCTAAGTTTAAGCGGATTTCAGATGCACCCCCTAGAGGACATGCACACAAGGTGTGGGAGTTTCTCTCTTCACACGTGTGCATAACTCTATCCACTGGATCCCTGAAAGAGCGGCTTCCCATGCATTACGACTGTATATGCACATGCTATGAGAAGGTTTGTAGTTGTCAAGGATTTAGGCCAATGCCCTCTACTGGCCCTTTCCTGTACAAAACTTCTAATCATGAAGCTCATACATACATTCTAATGTCCTGGCCCATCACTCAGTCATGAGGCACAAACATACCAATCGACTCTAACTTAGAGGTAACCCTCAACCCTCTCGGTACCTCCCATATATAAAACCTCCACATGACCTAATTGGTTCCATGACTCTTGGTCCAAGTGCGCCAAGATTCTAAAGTTATGTCACTCTCATACTCCCATTGAAGTCAAGAGCCATTGAAAATAAAGGAATTTAGGACCTTAAAAGGACATAATTCCAATAAGAACAACTATTTCAAGCAAAAAACATGAAAACAACTAAATAAGAAGCCGATAATCATAATATGGACTTATAGACTCATAAAAAGAGTACAAACTTATACTCTGCAAGTCTCCAAAACTCTACACTACAGATTTTATGATCCCATAGCCCTTAAAAAGTTAAAAAGTTTGTTACAATTACAATATTACAAACAAAGTGCATATTATACTCAAATATCAAAGCAATTTACTCATTAATCATCATCTTCTCCAGCTTCATTGTCATCTAATTACTCCTAAATATTCTTTAGTTCATTTATGTATTAAAGAAAAATAAAAGCAAATGAAAACAAAAAAAAACGAAGAAACAATTTTTACACACAAAGCAGGAGAAGAATGCACATACGATACAATCTTAGCAAAAAGCCAAAACCAAACAAGATTAAACTTATTCACGCAAACCATGGATAAGAATACAAGAAACAACCATAAACACGACAAAAAATTATTTCTTACGAAAACCCTAAATACTATTTTTTTTCTATTTTTTCCAAGAAGAAAACAAACTATCAAAAAAGGGGTGAACTAAGCTTAAGGCACCAAATATGGGTGCTTTGATGGCCGGATTCCCATTTGAAGATCGCCAAAATTTCGCCCAATTTTTTGTATTCTTTCAGGTATCATATATATAGGGATTGTATACAATGAGACCATTTACCTTTGATACAAGGAGTCACAATTACTTATAACCATCCGATGCGAAATCTGATAGCTCGAGTTTGTAACAAAGTTCGAGAAATTTTCTTTTGAAGTTTGAGCATGGTCAATGAAATAAATGCAACGATCCAATTTCACATCCATGGTCACGATTAATTGTGACCACCTCATACC